GGAAGGGGAAGTGGTAAAGGGGTGGTTTGGAAGCAGTGGCGTGTGTGACTTCTCAAGTCTATTTCACCCAGCACCAAACACACTGCCACCCAATTTCCTCAGGTATTGACCTATCCTACCGGTGATCATGAAAGAGACTGCTCAAGGAACAGCTCACCAATCTCTCTTAGGGAATTGACCTCGTGGGTTGCTTTTCCTGTTTTAGTTGAAGTTCTGTGAGGTGCTGTTACAATCCTCTGAAACTGCCTCTTCCATTCACCAACCCCAAAAATCTCCAACCCACCACAAACCCCTGCCCTCACCCACCCCAATCTGCACATGATCTCACTGAATTCCTGCCAACTCAAACTTAAAATGGGGTACCAGCCACTCATCGCTGGCATCCAAATAAAACTTCATTTGCTTTCGGTTGGTTCTGGGCTAACCTGGTGACCATTTTCAATTCAAGGTCAAAGTTCATTTGCCATCGCTCATAGGAAGTCTCCTGTGAATCTTGCTTTTAGTCTCTGTGCCCCTTTTATAAAGTCTGCCCCTGAGGCCTGTTACATTCACAATGGAAAATCTTTTAGAGATTTATTTCTCTCCAACAAATTTTATGTTTTCCTTATTAAAAATCTCAGACATTATCCGATCAGAAATTTCAGTTCCTGTCACCATGCATCAGTTCTCAGTTCTCTTGTTGCGTTGTTCCTCACATACACTCATGCATTTCGAGAGGGCTAGTGTACAACAGCAGAGATGTACTGCTGAGGCTGGATAAGGCTCTGGAGAGGCCGCATTTGGAATATTGTGAGCAGTTTTTAGCCCCGCATCTATGGAAAGATGCACTGGCTTTGGAGGGGGTCCAGAGGAGGTTTACAAGAAGGATTCCATAATGAAGGGCTTGTCATGTGAGGAGCAGTTGAGGACTCTTGGTCTGTACTTGATGCAGTTTAAAAGGATGAGTAGGCTCCTGACTGAAACTTACAGGATGTGGAGAGGATGTTTCCGCCAGTAGGCAAGACTAGGACATGAGGGCACAGCCTCAGAGTGAAGGGATAACCCTTTAGAACTGAGATGAGGAGGAATTTCTTCAGTCAGTGGTTAATTTGTGGAACTCATTGCCGTAGAAGGTTTTGGGGGCCAAGACATTCAGCGTGAGATAGATAGGTTCTTGATTAGTAAGGGGTCAAGGGTTACTGTCAAAGGCAGGAGATTGGAGTTGAGAAACATATCAGCCATGAACGAATGGTGATGCAGACTCAGTGGGCCAAATGGCCTAATTCTGCTTCTATATCTCATTGCCTTATGGTTAAATGATAAATCTGTTAACAACTGGGACTGCAGTAATCCACTAAATACAATCACTGGCACTTTTTGTGAAAGTTAGTCCCCACTGTGACAAGTTCACAGAATGAGATCAGGGACATCTAATAGAAAGCAAGACGTTCCTTTCTCCCTTTATATTTTTCCCCTTTTCTCCAAAAGATACGGATTGATTTTTTTTTTCTATTCAAGTCACAATCCTTCTGTGACGCTGATTGCAAGGAACTGAAATGAGTTAACCGTGGTCCGTTCTTCTCCAATTTTTGTGTGTTAGCCCAGATAGTACCAACACACACACACACACACACACACACACACACGTGCATGCACACACACATACGCGCGCACGCACGCACACACACACACATGCACATGCACATACACACACATACACACACACACCCACACCCACACACACACACATATCCACCTACACACACACACCCACACCCACACATCCACCTACACACACACACCCACCCACCCACACACACACACCCACACCCACACACACACACCCACACACACACACACCCACACACACACACCCCCACATACACACCCACACGCAAACACACGTAAACACACACACGCGCACACACACACCTGTATACACACA